AAATAATAATTTTTTTTTTTTTTTTTTTTTGAAAATTTGTCACCCCGAGAACAAGTCTGGGAGAGGGCCTGTCGACCCTGAAAGGGCTAAAGCATGTTGCAAAAACGTGCTGGGGAAACTCTGCAGACGTGTTTGTTTATTGTGCATCATTAATAGAAAAAACACAACCATCATAAAATTTGCAAACAATAAGATTTATGAAAAGGTTAATGTTAAAATAATTAATACTTAATGCAAAATACAGTTACTTACAGAAACTTCAAAACAAACAGTCAAATGCTGTTTAATTATAGATGCTGTATGAGAGCCACAATGCACATTACAGTAGGTTGTCTTTTACTTATTGCCAAAAAAGAAAAAGAAATGGACCTTGGTAAAATAATCCACCAATCATTAAAAGCACTGCCGTAAGTGGGACATTGATGAAAAAGAGTCAGCCAAAGTTTGACATATTAAACATACCTTTAAATTCAGCAAGAAGAGAGTGCAAATCCCTTTATGTAGAAAGGTATTATATAACTAGAAAAGTTAAAAAACAAGCAAATAAAAATCATCCATAAAGGAAGTCAACTTGCTACAGTAAGCCAAGAGCTAAAGGCTCTTCAAACGAGGCATGACATGGATGATCTCGTGGAAACGTTAAGAAGTCCAATGCAGCACATATACGGGATAATAATTTAGTTTGCCAAACTGCAGAAGGTAGACAATATGAGATTATTCTCTTACCAGGGGAGTGATAAACTAATGGAACAGTCTGTCTCCTAAAGTATTTGACATCAAAAGTATGTTACAGTTTAAAATTCACCTGGAAAAACTTCAAGCAGAATGGGAGAAGCCACAAACTTTGTCAACATTGCAACTTCCAGAGGTGGTGACTAATAGGTATAAATACAACTCTGCACACATCTCTTATGTGGAACACAGCATACGAAAGGTGAGCTCAACTGATTGGAATTCTATAATAAAGCAAAGCCATGGTGTAGACTGAGATACAGTGGCATTAGACTGGTAAGGAATAGCCCTAACCCAAAGAGGAAGACCATTATTGTACACAGATTTGAAGAGGATGAAAAGGCTAATGAAATCTCCAAAGCCATCTGCTTATCTTCCATGGTATGTACTATCAGCCTAAATTTAGCAACTAAGAAATGATAATGAGGACATAGTGAATTAACATATGGAGACACTTTGAAGTGCATGGATCAAACATCAAAATAAACTAAGGAAAAAATATGGCAACCTTGTAACATCAGAAACTTTCAATGCTAGATGATGGTTTGAAGGGTTTAAAAACCCTAGTAATGTGTTAGAGACCAGTTTACTGATTTTGCAACCTTGGAAATCACCCAGACTGCTCATTCTGTAATTAATGTTAGCATGCAGAATGGCAAGCAACTACAATTTCTTCTTTTCACATGTTTGTATTGTGTGTAGGCTAATCTTTAATATGTGCACACTATCTTGTGTATGTAAGTGCAGGACTCTTCAGAAATTTCAATTGAAATCATACTGCAGATCTTAGTATTTAAAATAAGAGTACTTACTCATAAGAAATGAGTCTAAAGGACCTGACCATTCTTGGTGGGGAATCAGGTTCTTAATGTACACCACGATTCTTTTAAAAATATCTTAACCTTACAAAATCCTAAACCAGCAAGGCAGGGGTGTTCAAGATGCATCTCTCTAATTTGTTGGATGCTGTGTAACTGCATTTCAGTTACTAAGGTATAACATTTTCCTTTTATCACATTTAAGCAATCCTTTAAGCCTTTACAGTGTTCTGAGCACTGTTAAGTATGATTATCATATTGTACCATTTGGTTGCAAGAGGTTAACTTGTGTTGACTTAAAGGCTGCTACTACAACTCATAACTAGGGTGTTGTGGATTATTCTAGCCTGATGGTTACTTCATCCAGTATTATATTTTCATGTACACTGCTAATCTTATTTTTATTTTGTTGTCCAGGCCTTGATAGTGATCCAAACATTTTTAGTTAAATAGTGTTCTAAGCATGTTTAGTTAATGTGTTTACACTTGTCCTAAGTAGTAGGTTGGTAGACAGCAACCACCCAGGAGGTACTACCATCCTGCCCAGTGAGTGTGAAATGTAAGCCTGTAATTGTTTTACATGATGGTAGGACTGCTGGTGTCTTTTCTGTCTCAAACATGCAAGATTTAAGGTATGTCTTGCTACTTGTACTTATTAGTTCTTGTTTATTTCTGATTATCTCCATGGGGAAGTGGAACAGAATTCTTCCTCTGTAAGCCATGCATGTCATAAGAGGCAACTGAAATGCAGGGAGCAAGAGGCTAGAAACCCCTTCTCTATATATTACTAAATTTAAAATGAGAAACTTTCGTTTTTCCTTTTGGGCCACCCTGCCTTGGTGGGATATGGCCGGTTTGTCGAAAAAAGTTTACACTTGTGATTCATTGTACCATTTGATAGCAAGTGGTATAATGTGTATACTGCTACCACAGTTACAAACTAGGGTGTTGTGGGTTATTCTTGCTTAGTTGTTATTTCATCCAGTATTACATTTTCATGTCCAGTACTAGTTTTTCTATTTTGTTTTATTATGGCCAAGTGTATTTTATAATGTAGTGTTCCATAGCTTTGTTGCCACACCCAGTAATCTTTTGAGGTTGTCAGTCTCTTAGAACTTTGTCTTTCTTAAGGCTTGAGCCAGCATCAGTTGGCTCCCACTGTTTACCAGCAATTATCAGCACAGCCTTGAGTGCCTTTTTACATTCACTGGTAGTAAGCAAGTCATTTTCTACATAAATAGCTGGCACTATGTCCTTGTTTAGAAGTTTCAACTCTTAACCCTTAAACTGTCCAAACATAGATATACATTTTTTTTTTTTACACACTTTCTTGTGGAGAAAATCAAGGTTGGAGCACTACACGTGAAAACGTAGAACTACGTTTGGACAGTTGAAGGGTTAAACTGTCCAAACGTAGATCTACGTTCGCTTGCATAGCGCTACGAACGTAGATCTATGTTTGGACAGTTAAATGGTTAAGACTGTGCATACACTTATAATGAAAGACCAGGTTTAATCAGAAAAAAGGAGTAATGACTCCATTTCCATCAAGTTATGCAGATGAAACACCTAGCCACCTCATCTTTTTTAGAAGTGGTAGATGGCCCTCTTAGGCCTTAAGACAAGTTTTCAGCATAGAGCTTCTGTCAGTTTCTTAAAGAGGGATGTGAAAGATGGGCCTTTCTGCCCTTTAGTGTTATGAGAGGTAATCTAACCACATTTATAACTTTAAAATTTTGCTTAAGCATTAATGTTTACACATTGCTTTGCCTAGCACTCCCAATTTAAGTCTTGATGAGTCTTTTATATATTTAATCATTATTGATGGGAAAGCACCTGGTGTGTGTCATTTCTTTCATCTGTTATGCCTTTACTGATGGGCATAGCATGTGTTACCAGAAAATAATCTTGCAGCTTTTTGTAATAAAGGCATACACAAAGAAGCTGCATTTAAACACTGTCATCTCACCTTAGTGCTAGCTTTGAATTAAGTCTAGGCCAGGGCATAGGCTGGAGTACTTCAGGCCTAACACGTGTCAAAAGAACATCTCGGCCCTAAAGGCAAGAATGCTAAGTCCAGTTTTAACAGATTCTGCCAGCCAAGTTACACAGGCTACTCAGAGCTATACAGGTGCCAACACTAACACCAGTGCCCTGTCTCTTGTGGAATAGATGTTCTCTTGTAGTCTCTCAGGATTGTGTTGTGGCTTACAGCTAAAAGAACATTTGAGATTTTAGCTAGCTAATATTTAGCAGTATGTTTTTACTTTTTTTTTTAAAGACTATGGAAGCATTTCGAAAGGGTGACATTTTATTGGTATTTTTACTTGAAACAAAATCTCTCATCCTCTCTAATACTGTAGTTTGCTTTTTGTTTCAACTGTTCTTCATAATCTTAAATGGGAACTCTACTGAAAGTTTTTTTTTTTTTTTTTTTTTTAATCTAAATGCACAATTTCCCCATCCTCTTCTTGAAGAATGTATATATGACTTATGATAGCTTAATATAAAATATTGAGATTCTGCACAGTTTGTCTCTTAAATGCAGTTCAGTGTGTGAATTTCTAGTAGGTTTCAAAAGGATTTTTACTGATTTGAAAACTGGTTTTTGCTCTCCAAGTGTATTATCCAGAATTAGAATATGCAATATGGTCAGTAGTTCCCAAGCTAAAAGAATAAAGTTACAGAAAGTCTCAAAACACTAAAAATACCCTAGTTAAGAGAAGATGTGATGACCACATTAGAAGCCATAAAAGGATATGAAAAACTGTTAAAGATTTCTTAACACTATCAATGGAGAATATGAAACTATAGTTGTAAAATGAGCAAAAAAGCAGTGCCAGAAGATTATACTACAATATTCTGCTTAATTATGATAAAACAATTTAATGGAATATAAGAGGAAATGTTTCAAATTTATTTGATAGATTTAAACTGATAGGGACACCATGATCATAGCTCTGCTTCTATAGCTTTATCTTTGTAATCACACACATCATAAAAAGGTGTTTATATTATATACAAGCTATTTACCTATCTGCACCTTTTGATATATCAATGTTGTATACAGTTTCTAAAAGACACAATGTGTGTGTTCAATCATTACAAGAATTTCTGAGAGGCAAATGAGTATTAAAACTACCAGTATTGAACAAATTTAAAAAAAAAAAAAAAGACAGCTAAGAGATGAATCATAATAACTATTTGATAATTTGGTGGCAAACTGCTAATATTTTTTTCATGAGCTGGCCATACAAAAAAATCATGTAATTTACTGCACAATTTTCCATTTCCTCAAATATATGTAAATAATTTGTTACTAGCAGTCATGCAAAGCATTTTCACTATAAAGCATTAGGACAGAAGTGCACTACACAGCTGCAAAAATTTATACAAACTGGGTTAATGAAGAAAAGCACTACAATGACAGAACTGGTACTGCACTGTTACCCTTGAATCATGGGTGTTGTTTCTGTAGGTTCAGTGGTGTCCTTGATTTTCTCCTCAGGGGCCTGTTGTTCTGGCTTGATGCCATCTTCCTTCTGTGGCTTCATTTGACCATTTTCCTCAAGTATATCATCACTAAATCAGGAAGTGGTGAAAGATAGAAGAGATTCTTGGTTATTACCAAAAACATGCAAAACCAAATGCACTGCTTTGAAGAACAAATTTTGTGTACAGTATTGTATATGACAATAATCACAACTCTAGGCAATATCCCAAAATTTCTACTTTTTACTAAATTTTCAGACTTGTTTAAACCAGAATCTAAAATTTATATTTAAGTGATTAACCTTTTAACTGTGGCATACACTGAAATTAAATTTCATCAGTATGTGGCAAGATTTAAAAAAAAAAAAAATACAGATTAAGAAGTGCATTTTTTAATTGAGTGGAACCTGATAAAAACTCAGAATTTTGTGGTGTGTTAAGTTGGCAGTAAAATGGTCACTCATTGGTAACAATGGTGTAAATGTGCCAACAACATTTGTTTTACAATTTGAAACCAGTTAAAAAAACAATTATATATTTTTTTAACTGTTGAACACTACATACACTAGTTTCTTATATTAGATGTGTTTCAAGGTGTTTTAGTACTTCAACCATGAGTAAATGCACAATCCAACTTTGCTCCATTTTGAATCAGTATAAACTGGTGCATATTACATACTTTTGCTACTTTGGTATCTAGCACTATGTACAAAAAATACTTATGATACTACAATTGTTTTCATGTGTATTACTCCTCAAAACAAGTTGCATTAACTACACTGGGTTATCCTAGGCTATATAAGTAATGTAATTTCTGTGTCCATAACACCTGTGTATCTTCAAGACTATTGTAAAATATTTATTTACAAGGAAAGCTTATATTACAATTATTTCAAGGTGTAATACTCATTGACTATACAGTAGACCCCCGGTTTTCGTCCTTAATCCGTTCCAGAAGGTCGGCCGAGATCCGAAATGGACGAAAACCGAAGTAATATTTCACATAAGAAATAATGCAAATCCAATTAATCCATTTCAGACACCCAAAAATATTAACAAAAAATAAGTTTTATAGAGAATAACTATAGTGTTGCAGCTCTTCAGTGGGTAGCTCTTCCCTGTGGTTGTCCACCAACTCTTCTACATCCTGGCCACTCACAACCAACCCCATGGACTTCCCAAAAGGAGTAGGATTGTCAAGTTTACACTTATTAAGTTAGCAATAGAACTAGGCATTAAAAAACAATAAAAAGTAAAATACATATACAGTACATTCATTACTTACCTTAAAATATTCGTAGTTTTAATGTAGGGCGAGAGGTGAGTAATATTTATAGTCCCAGGCGGATATAGTCCTCCTGGGTTATACCTACCAGCTACATATACTGCTGCCCACAGCCATATTATTACCATTGACATACCATGTTCACCAAGTTTAATTGTTCCTCACTACCTTTAGATGTCATCATAAACAAAGGGAGAAGTAATGAATAATTCATGCCGAGAATTGTAAACAAAAGCGGAGTGGGGGAGTGACTGGGCCGGACGCAGATTCAAAGTTTTCTCTAACGCTGGACCAGAGAAAACAATGTTTTCCCTCCACCTACTCACCCCTCGATAGCATATAAACATGCAATGTTTATATGCTATGTAACTTGTTTCTTATATAATTTTGAAGAAACTATCATAGATGAATTAATGAAAATGTCTAAATTAACCTAAAATAAGACATTTAATGTGCCCAAGAGTGAGTCACAAGCATACGAGTGGCCCAGGCACATGCGTCTGGTACCGACAATTTCCGAGTGGACATACGAAACCTGGAGGAAAATTTCACCAAAAAAAGTGCTCAAAATCCGAATTGTACTATTTCCGCACTGGACAAAAACCAGGGATCCACTGTATTGGGTTACCCCAAGTTAAATCTACAGTGTACATTTTGGCTGAATTTCACTGATAGTATCATGTAATTTTAATAAATTTGGAATGAATAAGTTATCTTCCTGGCAGTTCTGCACCCTGTGTGCTGGCAAGGAAGCTGCTGGTGGAACAGCAGGTCAAAGTTTCATTGTTTACTTATGACAGTTAGGCAGTGTTAACCATGATGCACTACATGGACTTGTCTGGTCTTAGATAGTTTCAAAGAAATGGAAAAAGTTGAAAGCGAGGTCAAAAATTCTGGCAAGTAGCATATTTAAAGTTATAAAAAATTGTTCATATTAGTATGTTGGAGAGACAGCAACCTCCTCCATATTATTAAGTTTCGTATTACAACCTCTCCTCACTTAACGATGGAGATCCGTTCCTAAGACCTCATCGGTAAATGAATTCGTCGGCAAGCGAGGAGCATAATATAATGGTAGTGGGTTTGTGTCAACCATCTTTGATATTGTTTTAATGTCACACTTGCACCATTTATAGCATTTCTGGTATATTTTTAAATGTTTATACAGTAGTGTACTGTATATTGTAATAAACAGAATAGAGGATATCAGCTCTAACATACATTACTTAGGTATGAATACTGGTCAAAGAGCCCATCATAAGTCCGAGTCATCGGTAAACAAGTATGTTGCTAAGTGAGGAGAGGCTGTATAGGTGTATACCTAAACTGATAACAGCAAACATATATTAAAAATATAAATACAGGAGACTGTTATTTAGCACAGTAGTTATGTTGACCCTTTCAGGGTCCGTCCCGTAGATCTACGGCTTTACGTTCAGGGTCCAAACCGTAGATCTACGTCATGAGCTCGGCTCACTCTGATAAACTGTGAGTGGTACATTTGGGCCTATATATGAGAGAATACATCTATGTGGTATGTGTGCACCACATAAAACAGATCCTGCAGCACACTGTGTATAATGAAAGAAAAAAACTGAAATCATGATTTTTCGATTAAAACAGCGACTTTGCAGTGTTTTTTTGTATGGTTTTTTATAGTTTTATTTGTGATTTCTTGGTCTCATTTGATAGAATGGAAGACATATTACAGAAATAGAGATGATTTTGATTGGTTTTAGCACTGGAAATGGCTTGAAACTGAGCTCAAATTAGCAGAAATGTTAAATTTTTGCCGATATTCAAGAGTAAACAAACGACCTCACACGTCTAATACACGCCAGCTGGTGGGTCTAATATGCATTCACAAATATGGTGACGATATTTATACAATTATTACAGTATTGCATAACAGTAAATCTTCTATTTTTTGGTTTGAATAAAAAATCAAAATGGAATTTATTTGTAAAGCCTCAAAACGTAACTAATGAACAGAGGAAATGTTAGTTTAGTTCCAGGAATACCTACATTGTTTATTCTGGACCCTATTTTGAAATTGGAATATTTTGAACTTTGTGTTAAATTGGCCAAATTAACAATTTGCGATCACTTTAATTTGTAGTTGAAACAGTTGACTTGGCGATTTCTTGTGCTCAATCGATAGAATAAAAGAATACTAGTGAAATAGCTAAGAATTTGGTTGACTGGAATAATGTAAATGGCCTAAAATGGGAGTCAAAGTCGGCAAAATCACCGATTCGTAAATATCGCTGACACATCAAATTTCGTACTTTTTGTTTTATTACCTTCACAAAAAGATTCTCTACCATTTCATAAGAAAAAATAACAAATTTTTTTTTTTTTAAATTCTTGGACACCACTTCAGATTTGGGCCTTGGACCCTGAAGGGGTTAATGAAAATGCCGTGTTAGATGAACTGAAGAACTTATGGGAAAAATAGGGTTATGTTCCTGGGAACCCCCAAAAAGGCAAACAACTTTTTTTTTAGGCCTCCACATGTTACAAAAATAAAAGTGGATATGTAGTTACAGTGGACCCCCGCTTAACGATCACCTCCAAATGCGACCAATTATGTAAGTGTATTTATGTAAGTGCGTTTGTACGTGTATGTTTAGGGGTCTGAAATGGACTAATCTACTTCACAATATTCCTTATGGGAAAAAATTCGGTCAGTACTGGCACCTGAACATACTACTGGAATGAAAAAAGTTCGTTAACCGGGGGTCCACTGTATTTTTACTGCTTAGTACTACAAATGTAACAGAAATAATAGTATTTCTTACCTTAAATTGTAGGTACTGGTGTTTGTGGACGATTGTGAAGAGAGTGGAGAGTTATGCTGTGGCCCTACTGGGCTGCGGTGGATGGTAGAGGTTCTGGTACTGAAGTCGATAGTTGTACTGGAGTGTCTAACTTTGTCATTCAGTAAGTCAGTCATTCAGTCACACCAACTCATGTTCCCCTCTTTTTCTGTGTACAAAGTAACACTTCATTACGGCTACAGGTTATCTCGTGTAATATTTTTATTTCTTTGTTAATTCTAAGACTTAAGTGCTTATACCTCTTCGTGCCACTTTCAGCAACACTGGTATGGCTACTGGGTGTCATGATTGCTTGGCAGATACAAGATATAGTAATTAAAATATAACACAATTCACAAACACAGCTGCCTTGTAGCAGAGAAAGACTGCACACACATGAAATACAAACTCTGGGGTGGTGTCAGGGAGTGGCAGGGGATGGTGGGAAGGCTTCCTGGCTGCTCCACAACAAGGCAGCTGCTTCAGCAAAAGATAATTTTTTTTTTCCTTCCCACAAACTGAACTGTGTTAAATTAATTATACAACATGTACATAAAATTGTACTGCAATTCTTCAATTGTGCAATACCCAAATCATGCCAAATGACGGTCTACCGTATATATATATATATATATATATATATATATATATATAGGTATTATTATTGTTTAGAGTATGTTAAAACTGAAGTAATAAACCCATACGAGTCATAGAGACCAGTGTACAACAGAGTACTGTATATACAATGGTGTGATAAATATACATGTACGTAAGTGTGTGTGTGAAAATATTCAACAAACTGCTTCATTGCCAAATTTCCCTCAAGATTTAACATTTTTGGTAACTATTGTACCCACAGGGGTTATTGAGTATCTGAGTGTGGGAGATTACCAAGCAACACCTTGGGTTATCAACATTTATTAGTTTTTGATTTGTGGTTTTGTTTTTGCCAATTATTTGCGATAATGGCGCGTGGCCTGCAGATTGCACATGATAAACTATTAGTGATAACACTGTAGAAGGTAAGGAAAAAATGGTGAAAATCCTGCTTATAAGGGTGTGAAAATAAACATTTCCATTAACCCCTTGAATGTCGAAACCCCAAATTCTGAGGTGTCTTCTGGTGTCAAAAAATTTTTGAAAAAAAAAAAAAAAAAAAAAAAAATCTTATGAAATGATAGAGAATCTTTTCCCAATGGTAATGACACCAAAAGAATGAAATTTGATGGAAAACTTAAGGAATTACACCCTATTTTTGGCTAATTCCATTGTTCCAGTTGACCAAACTCATAGCTATTTCTTTAGAACTCCATTTGTTCTATCGAATGAATACAAGAAACTGCCCATTTACAGATTTTAACTACCCAATAACGTGGTCAGAAATTTGGCCAATTTCACGCAAATTAAAAAATATGCCAATGTCAAAATAGGGTCCAGAATGAACAATGGAGATATTCCTGGCTCTAAAATAACATTGTCTTTGTTCATCAGTCATGTCTCCAGGCCCCTCTGATATTACTCTTGCTTTCTAATTTGAATTTTTAGTCAAACAAAAAATTAGAAGATTTACTGTTATGCAGACTACTGCAATATTGTAATAATTGTATAAATACTGTCAACCTGTTCATGACTGCATACTAGAATGGCTAGTTGGACATTCATTGGACAATGACATTTGTTTACTTTTGAACATCGGCAAAAATCAAACATTTCCTCTACTCTGAGCTACATTTCAAGGTTCTTTTCATAGTAAAACCAATCCAAATCATCTCTATTTCTATAAAATGTTTTCCACTCTATCAAATGAGACCAAGAAAATGAGAATACAACCATAAATACACCACAAAGTCAGTGTTTTAATCCAAAAAAACGGTCGGAGTTTTTTTTTCTCATGCACTGCGTGCTGCAGGATTTTTTTTTATATGGTGCACACTGACCACACAGACCCATTCTCTCACATGTCGGCCTACCAACCTTCTCCTGCTTGATTTGAAGCCGCTAGAATTTTTGAGTATATATACGTCAAACACGGTGACTCGTAAGACGTACATATACGACCGAAACAGTCAGAGGGTTAAAAGTGGTGTAGTGGAGATTCTGGCCATTAAGCAAAGATCAAGGATACGTGAATGATGTTTCTGAGGGTTAATGCCCCACCCCCACCCACCCAGCTCAGGCCTCCTGGAGGATCAAGGCATGATCAACCAGTTCATGAACCACAGCTTGGCTGGTCAGGCACTGATCAGAGGAACTTGTCCAGCTCCCTAAAAAAAAAGCGGCTGGGAGGCATGTATACTATTATTATAATAAAAAAGAAGCGCTAAGCCACAGGGGCATGTATATACTTCAACTGTATTGGTGTTGTTGGGGGCATGTATGTACAGCAGACCTCCATATCTGTGGATTCAAATTCCAGAGTTTACCTTGACCTGAAAATATTAAGGAGGCTGCAATTTGCGTGTTTCATTATTTTTTATTTATCGTCCAATTTCATTCATTTTTTTTTTTTATCAACTGAATAACAGTGCATAAAATATGGTCATATAAAGTTTCATTCAGATCAGTCAACAAACAAATGAATAAAAAAAATATACTGAAAACTTGATTTGACAGTAAACAGGCACATACTGGCAATGCCAAAATTAAGTCCAGCAGCAGCGGGTTCTGGGGGGACTACTGTATTGTTGTTGCTGGGACCGTGTACATTCTGCAACTATACTGTTGTTGCTGGGGACACATGTTAAGCAGAAACTTGAATTAATAATGAACGTTTCATATGGTGTCTCAGTGGCACAGGTATACGAGGAATATGATAAGAAAGTGTCTAGCATGATATTCATAGAAACGAGGACGAGCTTACAGGCCATTCTCTTTAGTCCTGATGCTAATGGAGCTTTACACCTCATCTTTCCACCACAAAAGTAAAATTACTATGCAGTACTGTTCTCTACTGTACTTTCAAATGCATTTTTATTGGTAGGATTCATTAGTACTGTATTGTTTTACAGGTTACAATATTCTTGTTTGGTAGTCTAGTCTTCTAATTACAAACTTTGTCTATGTGTGTTATGACTGAAAAATAAATTTCATAATTCGGAATCTACAGACAATCAACAATAAAGTGCAACCCCCCATCCATTAGCCCATTATTTCAAGGGTTCACTATATATACTTCATTATTACCAAAGTACATCAGATGTTGATAAAATATAGTTACAGTACAGTATTGTGGTTGGTAACACATTTTATGCTTTAATGTCTACATCAGCTTACCACGGTTCTGATAGGTGCTGTTCAATTCTCATTTTAAGTCTTCCTCTCCAATAAGCACTAAAAGATTACAGTTTTTTTATTTCCATGCACTGTTACAGAAATCTGCTTTGTACTACTGTACACTAAAAATAATTAACAAATGCTACACATAGATGGAATATTGAAGGACAAAGTAACACCAAGCAAGGTAAAATCACAATTCACATTGCCAGCTAAAGAACTGCAATTAAACATGAAAAACTGTCAAAATAAGGAAAACTGGACATAACTATTTTATGAATATGTTGATATTATACAGTATTAAGTATTTTATCTTTACTCATATTATCAATTATGTACTTGTATTTATGTAAAGCCAACAGTGGCTACTTCATTTTATAGAAATATGCTATTACACTAAAGGTTATGTAATGTTTCTAATAAAAGTATAAATTAACATTTAAAAGGTGAGAAAGAGAAAAAAAATTGTACTGCATCCAAAATCTAGTATTTTAATAAATGTATCAACCGTATATGCTGTAGTTTGAAACTGGTCAAAATTATAATAAGTAAACAATTAAAAATCACAAACACTCTAAATCTTGAAAAAGAATTTAATCTTGGTCATGCAACAGCTTCGATGCTTGAAATTATAATAATGCCCTTCAACGCAAATTATGCACAATCATAAGCAACTATAGTAAATTAATTTTTATAGCTTCTCTTACGTCTCTTTCTCAGACTTAGTTTCTACTTTTTTCTCTGAAGGTTTCTGAAGTTCCTTCTCTGGGATTGGTTTTTCATCGATGGTTTTAGTTTCATCCGTGGATTCTTCGTTGAGAGTATCAGCACTATAGGGAGGGAGTGGAAGAGGCAAAGTATAACACCTACAAAGATGTGAATCTAGAGCTATATACCGTAGCGTTGCTTATACTGTACACTATAAAGCATCGTACTATAGTAGGATCTTTACGTGGTTGAAGCTGTTAACTACAAAATATTTTGAATAGTCTAATTAGACGAAATTTATACGATTATTATATACAAAAAGCATACAAATTTACTAAAAACTACTTTTAAAGTAATAGAAAATTAGATGTTAAGAGAAAATGTACATGTATATGACTAGGGGTTACTTACCTGGCATTTTTCCCATCCTCAAGCATTGCTTCTTTATCTTTATCTTTTGCTCCTCGCTTCCTGAGAACAGCTGCAGTTAAACCAGCATTATTTGTACAAAAGCAAGTCACATCGACAACCACAGCTATGATGAGTACTGCGATGACTACAATTGCGACGATAATACCAATTCCAAGATCTGATTTCATGGCTTCTTCAGCATTGGGGCCTGAGGGTATGATATAATGAGCAATAACTCACTCAGTGAGCCACCACTACCACTGAAATCTTGACTATTAACATGCACTCTTATATTAATATTACCCAGTAATTTTTAGTGCCAAGTTTTCAGAGCTGGTTAGGGTGAGCCCCATTTCCAAACCTGCCCACATTACATGTCGTCACAAACTTTATAGCATTAATTATGAATACTAAAGTTATTTGAAACCAACTATAATTATTTTGCTGTCTCTAAATTGCGTGTTTACAGTGATTATACTGTATTTATGACTTTGGGAATACAGAGTTCATGTTGCATGCAATGCGGCAAGAATTATATTAATGTATAAATAGTAATTTATTTCTTATATTCTGTAACAGTAACTTGTGTAAAAATTTATCAATCTTATGTTGCAGTATTTTTTTTTAATCTGTCCTTGAAGAGACCAATTAATGGTATCAAATTTATTTAACATGTTAACAAAAAAGAACCCTCCTGCCCATTTGGTATCAGAGAGAAAGAGAGAGAGAGAGAGAGAGAGAGAGGAAAATAGAGTTAATAGTGCAAGAGAACAAGTAGTGAACACTGACAGCCATTACAATAGGAATGATGCTCAAGAGTTAACATATGCTGCAGTAGGGAAATCCGTTTGTAGTACCCTCACTTACACTACTTGGCGCTGCACTGGTGGCTCCCAAGATGGAGGTACGGTGGATGGTAGTACTACTGGCCGACCCTGGCGGGGCAGATGGTAGGCGGCCACCACCCAAGCCTGCCTTACCTAGCGCCCAGTCAGAAAACTGACTATTGAGAGGACATGGGGGGAAAAGGGGGAAAATATGGTGGGGGGGATTGGTGGTTATGTTAGGGAGGGTGGACAGAGAAGGGAAGAGGAGTACAAGTGGCCAATAGGGAATGCAGAGGATTCAGCTTCTAGGTTGAAAAAGAGTTACTTTGGAAGAATTTGTCAGTAGCAGGACTAGACTCTTTTAGATGGCACACAATCTTAAACACTGTAATTTAGAAGAAATGAAAAAGAGGAGGTGTAAATACTGTACTGTACTCTCTAAGTATCCACAAGTTTTGCTTTCACAAATTTACCTATCTACGACTTATTTTACTGTATAGTACATGGACATACATTTACCCATAAGTAATTTGCCCACATGCAAGTCATGTATCAATGAGCTCAACTCATTAATACATGACCTACATGCGATATTCCATAATCTGTGGGCCAGACAACCAGAAGTAAAAACTTCAATACAGTATTATGAAGATACAACTTTTGTAACTTACACTATATTGTGTAGTGATTTATGAGCTGGACTCCCAGAAACATGAAATTTATACCTGTATGCTATTAAACCATCTTACATATTAGATCCTTAGTGCTTCCCCCTTAAGTAGAATACATATTAGATATATTTTTACTACAACTAATGTAAAATAGTGCCGATGTTTCACTATTGAAATGTCCATGTATGGAGGCTTGCACTGCATCCTACCTTTTTCCTACTGAAATAGAGGAAAAGATAATTGTCTGCAAATTGTTAGTCCATGAGCTTCTCATGGAAGCTAAAAGAGCACAGTAATACCAGCAGATGAATATTTAAATAGATTGGAAAGACAAAACAGAGTCGGTAGAGGTGTTGATAAGAGGTCCATGTTAGAAAGGGTCCCAAGCATCAAGTGTGGTCAGTTCAACCCATTGTACCATTAAACTGTGTGGTCCTAGTAAGCCTAACGATATGCACGCAAATAACGTGTTATGCTTAGCAGCAGCATTACGCACGCACGCATATATGCACAAACACACACAGGAGATAAAAATGTAAGCTATTATTAATGCTAAACAGAGTTAGTATTTCTGGAAATATCAATATAAATTTTTTAACAAAATACAGTACATAAAAAATGCTGAAACATTTCAAACAAAGCAAGTGAAAAAACGCACAGTTGATAAAGGTTGACAAAGCTCTGCCAACAGCACTCAAAATTAACACTGTTCTATGTGGGCAAGATTATACAATTTGAACTTGGCTGTTTAGTTGACCCGTATCTTCGAAGTTTGTGCAGAGCAAGGCGAGTGCTACTACTAATGCATCCCTTATAAGAACAAAAAGGCAGAGTAGAGTGACTGGAACAATACACAAATAACCCACACACAGGAGGAGCTTGTGATAATATTTCAATCCAACCTGGATCATTTACAAAGTCACGCTGCATTCCTTAAAATGCTGTATTGTAATACGATAAAGATTTTTGATTCACAGTAATAGTATAAAATTTTAAATTTCTTATTTGAGTTTAAATTTTACTTTGCATTATATCATACCATAACTATATCCACTATATATATTCATGTAACACCCAGTTATAGCAAGACCATATATTAATCACAAAGACAAGGAACTGAAATGTGGATGAATAATATTTACTTTCTCATCTTCCTTCTGGATTGATTAAAATATGATTTTGAACCCATTAAACTTGATAAGGCTTAATTTTAATAGTAAATGCAAACATAATTAAAATATGTTTAATCCTTAAACTGTGACATACCTGGAAACAAAAATCACTATATTTAAAAAAAAAAAAAAAAATTGTAGACAGAGTACACAAGCCCTGCTTATACAGCAAGTTAGGTTCCAGGCTACCACTGTAAAATGAATCATAGCCTTTTTTTCACTTTCGAATGCATATGAAACCCTGATAACATGTTTATACCATCATGTTTAAAAAATGCATATACAGTATGGCCCCACTTTACAGCATTTTGCTAATATGGACATTTCAAATTATGACCAAAACTCGCTATACGGCTCCCCCACCCCACCCGGTTTGTTTACATTCTCCGTGAGTGCCGTGTCTCTCCATTATGTCTGGAAACTTTCCAAAATTTCAAGTGCTTTTAAAAGTTATTTCATAATTTATATATACTCTGATAATTATACTTATGTATACCTGTACCTAAAAATACTTACGCACTGTGCTGGCGTGCAGGTACACATTAAAATCACTAAGAGTGTCTTATGTCTCAAGACACCATATTAATAATGATAATACTCAATAATAATCACCGAGTCTCATCAAATGTTGTATATTACGTTAATACAGTGGAACCTCTACTTGCGAGCGTGTCCACGTGCGAGTTTTTCCAAACATGAGCAAAATTTCCACAAGTGAGCAGACCTCAAGGCAGGTTCCTTGACACTGGTGAGGGGCTCTTGCTCTTGATCTTGGGAATTGTATCTCATTTGTTTGTTGGACTATCTTATTGAAACTTGGGCAATGTATGATGTAAAGATGCTTCTTAACGTACACCAAAAATGAAAGAAATCTAAGCATAAATAATGGAGTTCACTTTTCAGCAATTAGCCACCCCTTAGCGGTAATTTTGAATGTTTTTTTTATGGTTGCACGTATTCTCGTTTTTTTTAGTCACATTTGATAGAATGGAAGATATATTACAGAAATAGATATGATTTTAATTGCTTTCACGACAAAAAGTACCTTGAAATAGAGCTCAACCTAGGGGAAATGGGCCACTGCTTGGCTGTTTCAGAGTAAACAAATGACGTCACTGTCCATTCCAATATGCAGTCGTGAATGGGTTGACATTATTTATACAATTATTGCAATAAGGAATAACAGTAAATCTTATATTTTTTGTGTGAATAAAAATTACAAATTATTTATATAATAATAATAATAATATGTATAATAATACATATAATAATAGTATAATAATACAATACAATAACAATAATAATAATAAATGTATAATACATATACAGTGGACCCTTGCCTAACGAACGCATCGCGTAACGTTAAATCTGCCTAGCGATACATTTTTAACGCAAAAATTTTGCCTTGGCTAGCACTAAAAAACTCGCTTAACGCGATTCGTTCGAGACACGTCCACGTGCGGCCTGAGTCCGCCTCACTTGTTCCGTGGGTGCCAGTGTTTACAAGCCAGCCACAGCGGTCGCTTCCAAGCATACAATCAGAACATTTCATATTATCACAGCCTTTTTAGTGATTGCACCTGCAAAATAAGTCACCATGGGCCCCAAGAAAGCTTCTAGTGCCAACCCTACAGGAAAAAGGGTGAGAATTACTATGGATATGAAGAGATCATTGCTAAGTATGAAAGTGGAGTGCATGTCTCCAAGCTGGCCAGGTTGTACACAAAACCCCAATCAACCATCGCTACTATTGTGGCCAAGAAAACGGCAATCAAGGAAGCTGTTCTTGCCAAAGGTGCAACTTTGTTTTCGAAACAGAGATCGCAAGTGACAGAAGATGTTGAGAGACTGTTATTGGTGTGGATAAACAAAAAACAGATAGCAGGAGATAGCATCTCTCAAGCGATCATGTGTGAAAATGCTAGGAAGTTGCATGAGGATTTAATCAGAAAAATGCCTGCAACTAGTGGTGATGTGAGTGAATTTAAGGCCAGCAAATGTTGGTTTGAGAGATTTAAGAATCGCAGTAGCATACATATTGTGATAAGGCATGGTGAGGCTGCCAGTTTGGACCACAAAGCAGCTGAAAAATGTGTGCAGGAATTCAAGGAGTACATAGGCAGTGAAGGACTGAAACCTGAACAAGTGTTTAACCCTTTGAGGGTCGACAGGCCCTCTCCGAGACTCTTCTCAGGGTCGACCAAATTTCAAAAAAAAAAAAAAAAATTCTCATGAAAAGATAGAGAATCTTTTCCCGATGATAATGACACCAAAAGTATGAAATTTGATGGAAAACTTACTGAATTATGCTCTCGCGAAGTTAACGGTCTCGGCGATGTTTACGCATCAGCGATTTTGCCCACTTTGAGCCCTATTTTCGGCCAATTCCACTGTACTAGTCAACAAAAAACATTAATATTTTGCTAGAACTCTGTTTTTTCTATCGAATGAGTGTAAAAAACGACCCATTTACCAATTTCAACTATCCAGTACAGTGGTCAGAATTTAGCAATTTTGCTAGTTTCACACAAATTTCAA